TCGGCTTCCCTCCTCTTGGTGTTTTCTGGGCCACGATCAAGAAGGGAGAGGAAGAATCACACAGCAAGCCTCCTCGCGTCAACCAGAAGTCCCTTTTTCTTTGATTCAATCACCAATGGACAAAGAAAGCAGTTGGAGAAAGAAAAGGACTGATTGCACTGCTCCTAAGACTTGATCTGCAGCTGTGATACCATATTTTCTTGGTAAACACGCAACAAGATCTCAGAATAATGAGAAGAGGAGGGAGAAGAGAGAAGAGAGAAGAGAGAAAAGAGAAAAAAGGTTTTGGAGAGAAAAACATCAGCTGGCAGTGCCAGCCTTTTTGATAATTTATATTAGGGCAACCACTCAAATAATAAAACAATGTAAAATTACATATGTGCCCTTGTGGCACTAATCTAAAGTAACACTAGCTTATTCAACAGAGTCAAACACCCTACTATTCCTTTCAAGTCAAACAGCCAAGATGAAGACCAAGGGGATCACATCCCAGCAGATATTGGCCCCTTACTCATCCCACAAACCCTCCAGCCCTTGAGCAACCCACTAACAGACTGCAAATGACATCAATGGAGATGAGGATAGTTGGATACTGCCTGAGAAATGCTGGTACTCTGCTAGTAAAGTTGCAATGCAGAAAACAGTGGTTGGAACTTTTAGGCGGTTGCTAGCACCATAAAATGATATCTAGAGCCAACACCTCTCCTGGACAGGTTCATCTTAGTTTGATATTTATCCGGGGCAGCTGACCATACAAAGAATTTAGCCTTTAAATGAGCCATGCTTTTTCAAACCTCCTTACAGGGGAAAGAGGAACAGCTGCCACCAACCAGACCTTTATAAAAGGAGTGAACTGAAAAGACTGATTTATGCCAGCCCCAAACTCTGGAACCTCCTCCTGAGGGTTACATAACTGGCCTATCAACAGATTGAAAAACTGAACTGCCTGATCCACCTCCCTTTGGTTGACATTTTTAGCACTTTGGTAATGACTATTTAAGTCACATGGCAATGAAGGGATGAGCACTGCAGATTTTGTAACTTCTCTACTTAAAGATTTTGACCAACATGGTGGATTGGGCACGAGCACAGAGAATGCCCGGAATTTGGTGGCTTGGGTGACATTGGCATTGAAGTGTCACAGGTTTTCAGTAGGGTCCAGGAATACTGCACCATGCTTGGGCCTATGGATACTGAGATGAAGCAGCGGAGGGCTGTGGCTCAGCAAAAATTGTGAGGCCAACCGAAAGTGCCTGCCCAAAAGAGCTTGAAGAAACTGGAGAAGAAGAGAGAACAGATATTATAAACATGGCAACATGTTTGATATCTCAAGGAATCTTCACCATACTCTTCACATCCATCTCTCAAGTCTCAACCAAGCCTCCCCAAGGTGGAGGCAAGCCATGGAAGAACTCTCTGCTCTACAGCATAATCACACGTGGGAACTCACCACCCTTCCTCCTGGTAAGCACACTGTTGGGTGTAAATAGGTCTATACAGTGAAGCATCTTCCTGATGGCAGTGTGGAACGATTGAAAGCACGGTTGGTGGCCAAGGGCTATTCTCAGTTATATGGTGTGGACTATATGGAGACATTCTCTCCTGTGACTAAAATTGGTTCAGTTCGGGTGTTGATCTCATTTGCTACTATGTATGATTGGCCTCTCCTACAACTTGACATAAAAAATTCCTTTCTACATGGTGATCTTGTTGAGGATGTGTATATGGAGCAACCACCAGGGTTTGTTGCTCAAGGGGAGGCTAGTAAGGTGTGCAGGCTCAAAAAGGCAATCTATGGACTGAAACAATCTCCTTGTGCATGGTTCAGCAGGTTCAGTGAAGTGGTGAAGGCCTTTGGGATGAAACAGTGTCAGGTTGATCATTTTGTGTTCAGCTATAACTCAAAAGATGGAAAAATCTTGCTAGTCGTGTATGTGGATGATATTGTCATAACT